TCATTATTAGCTATTACAGCAGTGAACATGAACTCTGTGTCAAATACTGAGCCTCAGTACAGATTCAAGTTGCAGTTATTTATATGTCTTATCACCTTAAATCTTCACTCAAAGACAAGTATCTTTGACAGTGCATATATAGGTGTATCATATATAAGAGACAAATGTTGTTCCTTCAGTTATTCCTTCAGTGAGTGCAATGCCTCACAGATGATGTGCAGCAGTGGGTCCCTCAGTCTGTCATCACTCTGGACACTTGCAGGTGTCACACATGGAAATCAAATGTGTGATAAGCTGCAGGATTCAAACACAAGTGTAACTTATAAATACATGTTCATACTTTTATTACACAACACAGAGAGAAAGAAACAGAGAGAGAGTGCAGCACAGACAGACAGGTGACAGTCTCAGGTGTACACACTGCTACAAAACAGCACAAAAGAAGGAGGATTTAGTATTTGTGTTATTACGAAACAAGAAGAGTTCCCAGATGGTTCAGTGGACACATGTGTGACTCCTGTGATTAAAGCATCTTTCTTTCAGCTTAACGAGTGAACCGTCAGCTTGTTCAAACACACGTTAAAGTCCGTTTGGCTCGACACCACCGAACAGAGGCAGCAATATAACATAGCTAACATTAACATCCATGCTAGGGAGGGGGACAGTAGTGGCGTGGCACTTTCAAAACACGTCTTTCAGCCTTCCGCACTGAGAAGCAACATTTCCAGCTTACTTAGTTTTTCTAAGTTAAGACAACTCAAATAAATTGAGTTGATCAGCGTTTTTGCATAAAAAGTACTGGTAACTTACTTAAATTGAGTTCTAATAACAAATTGTTAAAAATTGAGTTCAACCTACTTAATATTTTTAATTAAACACAATATCAGTCCCTGATTCTTCAAGTCTGATTAACTGAGTGTCTTTGGGCAGGATATTAAACCCATATTTGCCCCTGATATATGTAAGCATATTCACAGAGCACACACACAACAGGTTTGCAGCAATTTCAAACATAGCGGAGCTGCTTGGATAAAATCTTTGAGGAATGAAGAGCTAGCAAAGTTGAAGTCTCAGTGAAAGAGTTCAACCAAAAGCGTTAAATATGACAGAAATGGCTCACTTCAGAAAGGAACTTCAGGGGTTACTTAAGGGTTAAAGAGTTAAGAAAATTTGAAGATGAGGAACACACTTCTGTGGTCCACTGCCATTTTGATTAAAAATCTAAATATTTTAAAAAGGCTGGTTTTCATTAAATCAAAGAAACTTTCAGCTGTAATAAACATTCAAACTGCTTCTTCATTTATGAGTTAATTGTTTTAACTGAGTTGTTTCTCTAAAACTGTTTGCTAACTTGGGAGCTAAGAACCTCAGAAATGTTGCGAGAAATGAGAAAATCTGTTTCGGGTCTAGAGAATTGAGTCCTAAACATGTGTTGTCCTGCAGGGGGCGCAGAAACCCTTCAAGAAGGTGATTGATGTTAGCTCAGGTGATCCCCACAGAGTTGATTTACAACGTGTTTCATTTCTTCGACAGGTTAGTGTTCATTAATTGTGTTGTGTAACTTTTTGTGTTGTGTAAGCATTCCTGTCAAACTTGTGTATCTGTCATATAAGTTGTGATTTTTTTTAAGTGTAATCTTATTTATCCATTTTATTTTCATGTGCTTTATTTATGTCCATTACTTTCTGCAGTGGATGTAATGTATAGTGATTATTGTTAATTCCTGCATTTTATATTACTCTTGCACCATACATATCCTATATTTGTAACCATGTTGTCTTCTTAATGTGTTAAAAACACTTTCCTTGTTCAAAAAGTCTTGTCTACAAACTCCTCTCTGAATCTGGCCTACTTCCTCAGGTCTTGGCAGTGTGTATATACCCTCAGCTGCTGGAAGACAAATGTTTTCCTCTGGATGTCAAGATAAGAGCTCAGAAACTCCTGGAGGCCTGTGACGGAGCAAGTGTGGGTGAGGGTTAAAAAATTTGCATGTACAAACTGAATTTTAAACTTGAGAGTCTGGGATTTTAACTCACATGTATATTGAAATATACTTAAATAATTATAATTTGATAGGTTCATACACTGCATCCTCTGGTCTTCGTCATGTGAGGCAAAGCATCGCTGAGTTCATCACAAAAAGAGATGGAGTTCCTTCATATGCCCAAAACATCTTTATTTCTGCTGGCTCTCAAAGGGCTATAATGGTATGACTATGAACACTATTCGTACTATTTCTAGTTACACAAATGCTACATGTATCTACTCTGGTCGAAAGAATCCACGCTTCATACTGATGTCCACAATTCTTTTATTCCTCTCACAATCATGGAGCACCGTGAAAACTAGAAACAAGTAAAATAATATCAACAGCACATATGACATTCATCTCAGCCACCTATTCCTATAAGTCGCAGGGCAGTGGATCAGTCCCAGCCTATACCAAATGACTCACGAACCGGTCCGATGCCCGGGGGGTTGGGGACTGCTGCACTACATAATTAAACATGTCTAACATCAAGGGAGGCCACACAATAAAACACATTTTAAGCAAGATGCAATGTCCAACTTTATCAGCCACTTTATCTTTTTTTAAAATGCTTTGAAAGGACACAATAGCATAAAAACAGACAGCTGGAAAGTGCAGTTATCTGAGTGAACACACCTATCACTCAGACCACACATCCACAAATCTTTAGGGTTTACCATCGCTCAAAAAACTAAAATTGGATAGTTATTTCATTTAAAGAGTCTAAGTTGTAATTTGAACTAAACAATTTGATGTTTCTATAGTGAACATAGTTGAAACATATACAATCTGCATCAAATTCATCAGCATAACACTTGCTAAATTTATTCTTGTTGAGATGACATAATGCAAGCTAGCAAGACTGGTTAGTTGCCTGGACTAGCAATATCACAAAATCATTACAAACCACAGGAAAATCACTAGGGTCACAAGAGGCAGGAAATTATACACACACCACGTGTATGCTATTGCTATTTATTGTTCATAAATGACTTTTTATCAGCATTAAGTGCTTTTGCTGGACTAATGTAATTTGCGTGGCTTGGATCAACTCAATTAAATTAAGCTGGACTCAACTGCAGTAAATAAGTTGATTCATCATTAATTAATAAGCCAACTCAAGTACATTAAGTTGGAATAACAGACCTGCATAATGCTGAAATAAAGCAATTTGATGACGTGGAAATCCTTTCCATGACTTTTTTATGTATCTTCTGCTATAGCAAACTGTAGTAGTTGTTTAGCTTTCACATTTTATCTTTGCACTTAACTGAAAAATAATATGATTTGTATTAATAATAATGTCCAGTCTTTACACATTGTAAAAACCTCAACCAAAATAACCAAAATATTCTCAAACAACAGCTTAAACATTTTTACTTCTACATGTAACATATTTTTAGAATCTTTGAAACAACCAGGTGTATTGTATTAATTTAGCCTTTAAACATAGTTTATTGAGTTAGTTGTAAAGAAAAGCTTAAATGTGTGAGTGATCTCTCATTGTTGCAAAGGGAGTTGCGAGGGGAAACAGTTTTACTTTGTTTTCTGCTTCAAACATTCTATTTTATTTCATTTATTCCTGATTTTTTAATAACCTGTAGCAAAAAGTGACAGAAAAGATTGCTCTCCCTAAAGGAAAAAAATATAGCTTTTTCGATTATTGTTATAAGATTGCTGTGAAACTGCTGGCCAGTGGTGAGGGGAATACTCGGACAGGCGTGCTGATACCTGGGCCCTGCCCACACATGCTGTACAATGTGCTGGAGGAGGCTGGGGTAGTCTTGGTACCGTACCAGCTGACAGAGGAGAGAGGGTGGGCTGTAGACCTGGATAACATGCATCAAGCTTTAAAGGCTGCTCGGGGGTACTGTGAGCCCAGAGCCATTTACATCAGCAACCCGGGAAATCCCACAGGTAAGTAAAACACAGTAGCTAAGTGAAATGAGAATCCGAATCAGCATACCTTATTAATCCCGAAGGAAATTATGTGGTTACAGTTGCTGGACAGCAACTGACTGAAATAAATTCAATAATACAATATATTAAAAAGTTACAAAATATTAGAAATAGCTCTAATATATACAAATAGCTCAATTATAAATATCCAGAATATTAAAGAGGTTAAATATATATGACTGACATTTTACTTTAGACTGTAATCTGTAAAACTTTGCTATTTGTTATTTTCACTGTAGAGGATGTGCCAAATGGTGTAACTATTGCACTGTACTGTACATTAGATGGAGATACAGTCTTCTTTCATCACTGTTTATATTACCTTTGTCTTTCTAGGCCATGTGCAGGACAGGAAGTCAATAGAGGAAGTGATTCAGTTCGCAGCAGCTGAGAGAGTCCTACTGTTAGCTGATGAGGTGACCATGAGCTGTCTTTTCAGATTGGCTTTTTATTATGCATTTGTCAGGTTTTCTTTATCTATCAGTTTCTTTCCTCTGCACTCCAGGTGTACCAGGACAGCGTGTATGGGAAGGACAGAGAGTTTATTTCCTATAAGAAAGTCCTGTTTGAAATGGATATAGAGCTTGCAGAAACAGTGCAGCTGATCTCCTTCCACTCTTTATCCAGTACCTGCATTAGAGAGTGAGTTCTGTCTCTTATGTTTGTCAACAACAATTTCCAACAGGATCCTAGACAAAAGTTCTGGTGGATGGCCGCATGGACAGTGGTGGCATTGGAGCTCAACTGGAAGCCGGAGGCGCAAAAATGTAGTGTTTTTTAAAGATATTTGTAATAATATCATTTTAGGCCTCAGTCAATTTTCTATACTTTATAATTGAGATATTGCCAGTCCAGCGATGCTCCACTGTGGACCGGCGGAGGTGATGGGACCAGCAGGTGCAGAAACCTCCGGCTCGGGTGGAGGCCTCCAGACTTGTGCAGAAAAAATTGCATCTGTATGGCTTGATGAGCAAAAGGCACGGCTAAGGTCTGTCCATGCAAAGAAAAGGGTGCTCAACTCCTTCTAGCCAATGTCTCCAACATCATTGTCTATTGTTTTTTGGGAAAGAGACAGCGAGAGAAAAAGGCATATGGGTGCATTTTACCTGAGATGGATGTGGCTTAATGGGGATGGAGGCTGAACCGAAGAGTGTGTCAAAGGCTTCTTGAGTGGAGGCATCCACTGAAAAGGAATTTTGGGAGATGTTAGGTTAGTGAGTGTTTGGGCTATTTGGCTGAAGTTGCAAATGAATCAATTGTAGCAAATGCTAGGAAACACCGGAGTTGGTTCCAGCCTGGCTCCAGCCAGAACAGGCCATTCTACCACTACTTGCACCACAGCAAGTCTGCTGGGTCTGCTTTGGCTCTATCTATATCTGACACACTCTGCTATACAAGCTTGTCATTAGTACACGGAGATCTGCCTGGCCTGAGAGCCTCCGCCAGTCCCACCTGAGGCTCTCCCCAATCTACAGCCTTAATTCATGTTCAAACCATTTGCCTTTTATCTATTAAAAATGCCGCTGCGCTCTGCTTGTATGTCAGTTTTGTTTATGGCCGCTCTACATGTACTAGATGCCCCAGCTCCGTGTCATTTCAAAACATGTATCTCTGTGACTTTGTGTCCTCTTTGAGAGTTTGTGTTGTATTATGTTCAAATGTGAAGAAAAAAAAAGTATCTCTCAAAGAAGAAAGCTTTAAAGAAGAAGTTCTGGAAGTTTAAAAACTATGCACCTTAACTTCTGTCAAAAAGTTCACCCAACTCGAATATGCGCAAAATTTTTTTCTTCATCCTATGGTTGAACTTAGTGCAACTGTGGGCTTCTTTTTTATTGGTTGCACAAATTTACATAACAACGCGCAGCAGTCAAAGTTAAACTGGTTTGAACTTTGACCACGGGATGTGTCAGTACCTTTTGCTGATATGCTTGCGCTGCACTTTGCTTGACGCAGCAGTAAACCATTATTCTGCACCACAAGCAATAGAAGTGAATGTGTTTCTGTGCGCAGCACTGTATGCGCCGTGTCCTTTGTGAAAAGGGATTTAGGCTTCTATAGCATAGCTTGTTTATGCAACCACATACTGATCATTAGAATTAATGTAGGCTAAATACACTTTGAAATATACTTTCAAGCTTCACTTTTCATGCCTTCTTATACCATGCATGCATTTAAATGAATAGTTTAGACATTTCTCAAATTTTAAATGCATTATATTGATAAATTAATTAAGATAATCTGTGTCTGCATCTTAGGTGTGGTCTGAGGGCTGGATACATGGAGGTAGTTAATATGGATCCAGAGGTGATTTATTATTTTGATAACACATTGTGTGGTGATATCAGTACTCCAGTCACAGGACAGCTTGGTTTGGATCTTATGGTCAATCCGCCACAGTCTGGAGACCCATCGTATCACACATACATGCAGGTGAGGAAACAACAAAAGCCAACAGTTGTCCTTTGTTACACTCTTACTTTTAATTACTTGTTGTTCTGTTCACAAAGGAGACCTTCTTCATCCTGGCTACTCTGTCCCATAATGCTCAATGGGTTCAGGAGCTCCTAAATAAACTGCCAGGGGTAAGGTGTCAGCCAGTGCTTGGAGGAATCTATGTTTTTCCTCGCCTGCACTTACCATGTGGGATTAAGGAGCAGGCCAAGGTGGGAAATGTTCCAACAATCTTCCATCTTTCTTTCTCCATCAGTCTATTATCAATGTTAATGGAATACCAAGTCTAACCACTAAGTTTAGCCATTACAAATGAATGCCAAACCATTATCCTTACTTGAACCTGATTCCATCTTTATTCCTTACATGGCTTAACCTTGAAAACAGACTATTGAGGGATTGTGAAAAAAATGTGAATATTAAAAAAAAAAACATCATTCTGATGGTACAAAAGTTGAAAGCCATACTGTCCTATATGCACTTCTGTTTTCAGTTATTGGGGCTGAAAGCTGATGTTCTGTACTGTCAGAAATTACTGGAAGAGGAGGGTGTATTAGCTGGTGCAGGTGAACATGGGGAAATGACTGACAGCTTCCATTTGAGGTAAAGTATATGAAATCATAAAACCTTTTGAGGTTTGTACTGCATGTTGTATTGCTTCAAAAAAGTTGACTCTTGTTTGTGGTGCTCTCCCGCAGATTATGCATCCTTGTTCCTCATTACACCCTGGTAGAGGTCCTAGCTCGCCTCACCTCCTTTCACTGCCGTCTCATGGGTGGCACTGTGACCCCAACAGAAGTGTAAAGAAAGAGAAGCAAGAAGTCAGCTTATAGTGCCCTGTGGAGGAGGGTGGCCTAAACTAAGTGTAAACTTGAGATTGGTCAGATTTATGTGAAGTATCTCAAGAGGATAATTCAAATAACTGTCTGTATAACTAAAATAATTTTTTTTTTAGAAAGATTTCAGCGTCATTCTGCAATAGTAACATCTGCTTTGCAACAGTTCCAACAGTAAAGAATTTAGCCAAAAACAACATAGGCTATATTGAAGTTTTGACATGATGCTCATGATTCTCAGTAGTGAGCGTCTTCTTCTTCTTCTTCTTTCAGCTGCTCCCTTTTTGTGTGCCACAGTAAATCATTGATGTCCATCTCATTCTTTCCTGGTCTCACTCACACGCAAAACCTTCCTTTTCTCCATCATATCAGCTTTACAAATCAGAGCACTTTATTTAGAAGTTAGAGTGTTAGCCAGCACTCTGTCAGCTTACAACACTAGAGTCAGTCATTATTAACCTGGGCAGAAATTTCATTCTTTATGATCTTCATGATACAACCCACACCATTTATCTGGGCTTGTATAAAAAATTTGAATAAAGCATAGGTGGATGATATCCAACAACAAATAAAACAGATTTTTTGGTTTTCCAGTTAATGTGAACAAAGCTAAGAGTGACGCTTTTAGATGAATTATAACTGTCTAGGTCTTATCGTTGATTCATATGTGTTGTGGAAATCTTAAATAAATTGAGGTGCATGGAAACATGTCTCTATGTGCTTTATTTATCTTGAAAAGGAACGTAATCGTTGAATGTTTAAACACACACATGAACACGTGGTATATCTGAAAGATTACATGGACAGAATGGAGCTTAATTAACCTTGTGTTGTGGATGGATCTCAGATGTTGTCTTGACTGAAGTCTGGTCCATTTTCAGCGTCTGTTTTACTATATGATTGCATTTGTCTCTGCCTATCAGGGATTCTCACATTAACTTTTACTGAAAAAAGTTTATTTTCTCATCCTTCTAACACTCATCCTCCATCTTTGCTCTTCTAATGTGTTTACCTTATCTTAACCATAGCTCGGTAGGTAGGCAACAATTAGCATACGATTAATGTCATGTTTTGTGTGCAAGCAGGATATTGGATTCAAATGCAGGACTCGCAGAACACAGAGGAATGAACTAAAGGAAGCAGCTTTTATTTCGCTGTAAATAACTTACTACAAATACAAAAAGAAAACTTGAAACTAAAAAACTCAAACTAAAACACTACAAAATAAATGAGGAACTGACAACTAGGAATTAAGTGGGAATGCGGAGGGAAGAAACACAGTATAGTGAAGGTACAACATAACAGCTAACAGGAAGGAACACGGGACTTAAATACACAAGCAGGACAACGAGAGGATGGAAACAGGTGGTAAGATAGCTGGGATGAATCAGACCTAATGAGACAAGGGGAAGCAAAACCAGACACACTGAGCACTAGGGATGGGTATCGTTTAGGTTTTATCCAATACCAGTACCAAACCGGTACTTTTGAAATGGTGCCGGTGCTTAAACGGTGCTCGAACTGGTGCTCGAACCGGTGCTTAAAGAATGGAGAACACACACTTTGTCCAAAAACCTCTTATGTTTAGCTGGTTTTTTTGTAAAAAGATAACAATGTTAGCCTTTTCTGCAGCTATAGGGCATCTATGGTATCACTCTTGGCTGGAAAAAGTGCTTAATCAATGGAAAAAAAACACCAATTTTGTCTAAAAACCTCTCATGTTTAGCTGTTTCCCACTTTTCTTTGGTCATTTTAGGCTTTTTGGCCAGGGTGAAGGGAGTATCTGCCATCAAACAAGAAGAAAGCTGCAAAGTTAACATAATTCATAGAGCGACAATAGATATAATTACAGGAAATACTCCCAGATTAAAATATACTCAGTTTTTTAAAAAGGCATGACAATATCTGCTTGTACTAACTCTTTAAAACGTTATTACACCAAGGAATAATAAAAGATCTTATTTTGCTGTATGATTATACTTTTGAACTTAAGGCCCATTATGTCAGTCAGTAACAAGCAGTTAGTTTTATATTTAAACTCCAGACTGTGCTGCTTGTCACAAGGTTAAAACATTTCTTTTGTTTTTAAAGTAGGAAAAGTCTTAAACGAACAAGTTCAAGTTCTAAGAATAGTAGACTTCTCTGGTAAACATTTAAAAGCGAACAAAATGAACAGACTGCAGAAAAACTACAAAGGATTCCGATTCAAACATATGCTGATATCCAAGTATGTAAAATTCATTTTTAAGCTTTATTTATACAAAAAGTGTCACAGTTGAAAAAGTCATATGGACAATTTCAGATATTAAAGGCAGTTTAACAATTAAGGCACAAAAACTTCAGATATAATCAGATAACACTATTGCGTTACCACTGGCAAACTGTGATTAGCCTGGAGTGTACCAGTCAGCAGCAACTTTGAAGGAAAGAGTATATTTCTTCCGTATTAGTTTCTCCTCATTTGCTCTTTTCTAAATCTGAATTTAAAAGGTGCTGAATAATCTGACACCGTCTTCTCTTAAAGACCAGACTCATCAGGAGGCGGGTATTCTAATTACAAAGTACCCGCCTCCTGAGTGTATTTCCAGGCCTCTCGCTGGACCTTGATCAGTTAGACAGTTGAATCAGGAGAGATGAGCACTGTGCAGGACGTGAATCCCAGGGTGCGTGGGATCCGAGCCCCAGTGAACCTGCAGGGTCTAGCAGCATGCATCTCAGAGCAGATTGCACAGGTGAGCCAGCTGTAAAGAAGTTGAGAGACAGTATAAATTATGAGTCATTGTTAGCAGTTTAATAGTAAATAGTAGTCATTCAATTTGGTCAACCACACATCTGCAGCTTATCCTCTTTTGTCAAAGAATTATATCCACCTGTGGTATATATATATATGTATATATATATATATATATATATATAGTAACTTGATAGTTACTACAAATGAAATGTCTGAAAACCAAATAAATATTAAGGCCACAGATCAGACTATTTTTTGTGCTCTCTTATTCTTCTACTTATTAAAAAAAAAAGGCCAGCATTTCCTTGACCTCCACGTCAAGGAAATGGATGAGGATGAGTGTACATTTTTAACCACAAGTATAAGCTATGGTTATGTCATATATGGTTAATATTGAATTCATTCTCTATCTCTATATAGTTTAAATTAGCCAAGGGAAAACCAAATGTCAAAGGGTTAAAGAGATAAGTACATGATTGGCATAGATAGAATTTAGCTGTCGATTTAAAAAACGGTCAATATTGATAAACACTGATGTATTTTTCCAGAGTGTAAAAAAACCCTTCAAGAGTGTGATTGATGTCAGCTCAGGTGATCCACACAAGGCAGGAATGCCACCTATCTCATTTATTCGCCAGGTTGGTGTTTTATGTATCATCTGTGAATTTTACCTGCACTTCTCTGTCAACCTGAGCACATCACTTTCTGATTGCTTTCTTAGGTTATGGCAGTGTGTCTGTACCCTGAGCTCCTCAAAGAAAAAAGCCTTCCTCTGGATGTCAGGCAAAGGGCACAGAAGCTTCTGGACATGTGTTCTGGAGGGAGTGTGGGTGAGAAAAAACAATTATATCTGCAAGCAATGCACAAAGTGAGTATAAATGCTTCTGCTGGCCAGTCTAATCACTTTGCCTGTGACAGGTTCATACTCCACAACCTCCGGTGGTTTACCACAAGTCCAGAAAAGCATTTCTGAATTTATCACAAGGCGAGATGGTGGCGTGCCTTCTCATCCAGAAGACATTATCTTAACTACTGGATTACAGAAGAGTTTGTCGGTGTGACACTTTATACTGAACATTTTAATGAAGGTTTCTTTTTGTTTTCTTTTTTAAATAAAGCTATATCTTTCTGCTTTGTATAATTAGTTACTTAAGAAATGCTTAAAAATTGGCCAATTCTTGGAAAGGTGTTCCACCAGATGTAATCGGTGAGTGATGTGGTGTGTTTCTTAGCAAATCATTCTTATTCTCTGGACTCTGACAGACACTTTAAATCCTGATTGTAAGACGCAGGCCAACCATTCCTTTAACTTGTAACCACCAGAAATGTAACCACTTGGCAAAGCCAAGAAAAAGGAAAAGTAAAATGCAGTAAAAGTTAACGTACTTCTGCAACTTCTTCACTTAAGAAGTTGCAGAAGCGAACAAGTGCAGACTCTGAAATGTACTCAGAGTAAGAAAGTAAAAGGTAGCTCCTTGAAGGACAATTCTACCATCTATTGTTATACAAAGGTAACTGAACCTGCTGGTATCTTAATATAAAAATATCAGCACACGAGAATACAAATGTACTTAGCTTGAATCTGTATCTAGGATACAAGCAGTGAATGAAAAACAAAAAACCCCCCAGCTATTTAGACTGATTTCTATTTCCTACACTAACAGTGTCTTTATCATAGTATATAACTGGCATAAAGGAGGACTTGAGTGAATGAGTCTAAGCTGTAATCAACTCTCTTCAGCTTAAATTAAAATTAATCTCTGCTATGTTTGATGTAACCGAACACTGACCATGAGCACCACCGCCACTGTGTATCAGTCCCACACCATTCCTTACTGTGAATTCCCCACTTTGCTGCAACCACATCTTTTGATCATGCACAAAACTACCCACTATTTTCATCTATTAATATTATTATTATTATTATTATTATTATTATTATTATGACAAAAACAACATAATTTTTGCACTATAGGTGTTTTTGAACCTGCTTACCAGCGGAGAGGGCAAAACTCAGACAGGTGTGCTGACCCCCATGCCCTGTCCACATACTCTGCCCATGCTGCTGGACATGACTGGGCTGGCACTGGTTCCATACCGTCTTTTTGAAGAACAAGGCTGGGCTGTAAACCTGGATGAGCTGCATAGAGCTTTAGAGGCTGGAAGAGTCCACTGTGAGCCCAAAGCCATATACATCAGCAACCCAGGAAAACCTACAGGTGAGCAGCCCATTGTTGGTACATCCTGCACAGCTTTTGATCTATTCTATATTCGTGTATACGTTAAGAGAATCCTCGTCCTCTTTTTTAAAACTATATCATGCTAAGAGGTCAACTGTCTTAAAGCCTAAGAGTTAAATAAAAACTAAAATGTGAGTCTCTTTCTAACTGTTTGCACTGCACATGTGGATTTGTGGTTTACAGCTACTTCATAGAAGCTCATTCAATAATGTGACTTTTCCCCTGGTAGGTTACGTGCAAGACAGAGAAACTATTGAGAAGGTGATTCACTTTGCTGCTACCAATGGCCTCATCATACTGGCTGAAGAGGTGACCACAAGCATAACGTTTACTCTCCCCTCAAAGAGAAAGAGTACATCATCAGTCTGGCTGTTTTTGCCTGCCTGTTTGTTAGCAGTCTAACCTCCACAGTTTTCAAAATATCATGTACAAAGTTTGTGTGATGGTAGCTACCAGTAACAGCTCGAGCTGACTTAATGTTTGTGAAAATCAAGTGAAACCAAATATAAAAATATGTAAAAAAAACAAAAACAAACTTATATTACCCACAATTTTTTATAGATTGTCTTCAAACTTTCATTGTTAGCATCCAAGGTTGACTTCAAGAAACCATGTTAAGTAATATGTCATATTAAAAAGGGCATGGAGAGAGCCATACAACAGTTTTTATTACCACAATGATGCTATAATGTTTCAGAAAAATCACACATAAGCAAATTCTTCTCCAACCAT